AATAATAATAATTATAATAATAATAATAATAATAATAATGATAATAATAATAATAATAATAAAGCATTTTGTAGAGCACACAACCCCGCTCTAAAGCAAGCTCTATGGGCTTTACACTATATATTTCGCCAGCAGACCACAGAACACTCAGCAACATTCTCAGCTTCCCAGGAAACATATCGTGCAAGCAGCTGAATAAGCTCTCAAACACTTCCAAAGAGACTCCAAATGTATCCCTGTACTTTTCGGGATCGGGAGTTTTTGCTTTCCAAGATCAGTGTTTGAATATAATATGTGAGTTTGCATTAAGTGGTGTAAAATATAAAATCACTTTCTGGATTCGACTTTAACTACGTGTGAATGATTCAGATAAGAAAGCGACTAAAATCGTTTAGCTCAACCTTTATTACGAAACCTCTCTCAAACATTCAAAAAATTCTGAAGCATAGGAATAGGCGGTGAAGCATTGGAATAGGGAAGAAGGAGGAGAGGGAGGAGAAACATTGGGGTGGGTTAAATGAAGGCGGGAGGAAACAAAGAACTAGAAGGAAGGGCGCAAAGACGAAGAAAAAGAAAATTCTTCGAACGGCGATAGCAAACAGGAAGAGAAAACAAAAGGTAGAGGAAAGGAAAAGATGAAGAGAAACACATGTATTCAAACTCAGGGGGAAAAGGGAGGAGAGGTATAACCTTTTTTCAAGCAACATGTATGTCTCTTGGAGTGTTAGACTGGTAATGAAGAAAAAGGAAAAACACCAAAAACGAACACTTACATTAAACCCTATCTGGTTTACGTCAGTGATGTTGATAGATTGATGATGCCATACATTGCCTTGATTTCCTGCCACTGACCACAGTTCCATTTCCTGGCCGTTACCCGACTGGTAAGACACAGTTAGGTTGCCCATTGTCCGGCCGTACATGTGGTACCAGAACTGAAAGCAGTTGCCTTGGTGGGAGCTGCTCACGGTGGGGGAGATGAGGCGGGCGGTGTCCCCGTTGAACGTGCGGGAGGACTCCGCGTACAGATAGTAACCGTCTGTGGAAAATATACATAAGTTTTGCCATTTTATGAAACAGCAGCGGTAAAAAGTCCTCTTTGAAAATGCAAAACACCATTGTTTTAAACATATAATTCGAATTTCTTTTCTGGGATTCAAAAGCCATAAAGCTTCCAGGATATTCTGCTTGACATATGAAACGGACCTTGGTGGTATCCTGAGTAGCATTCCAGAGAGAATGGCCCAAAGTATTGACTTATATTAGTTGTCGTTTCATACCCAGAGTCCCACAGTTTTCATTCTAGAAGTGTAGACATGTATTATGTGCACCCAATCGTGTAGTTCAAGAGGTGCTATTATACAAGACAAGATCGTTGCATTTACATCAACTGAAAGTCATTGGCCTGTTAAATATATGTTTACACTCTACTGGAACGGAGCAATACATCTTGAGAGATGCAAAAATTAGAAGGTCTAGATCTATACACTCAAAACAAAATGTGCCTCGCGAAACATCACTTCCGAGAGCTACGCAAATTTGATTCGTTTCTATGTGGAATAATCACAAAGGCCAAAGAAGGACGGGAACGTTTTGTCAAATATATTTGTCTAAATTCAGGAAATGAATAAATCAAAATTCGGGCTCCTCCATGGGGACCTATCTATCTTTTTTCAGGTACTTGCCAACTTTCAACTCTGTAGCTGCCGCAGTTTTATGGGAAAAGTGACACACGTGTTAACAAGTTACAAAATATAACTGGGTTTCCCGTTTGATGAACAGACTCCAAAGAATCGATCGTCAAGTCATTGTGGGACCAGTGCACGCACTCTTTGTGAACGGAAGCCTCACTTGTTTACAATGGTGTCTTAGAAGACGAACTTTACCAAGATTAGATCTAAACGAAACTAATGAAAAACTGAAAATAAAACTACAGTGACTTCAGACTCCTCAGTAAAACTGTGCACTCTTTAAATGATTCTGAACCACCGTTAATTTGTTCAAATTCGAAAGTCAAGCGGTTCCTAAGTTTGAGGCGCCAAAGTGACAAACTTTCACAAATATAATATGTAATATAATATAATATATAATAGATTATATTGAATGACATAAATAATTGTGGGCTTTCACCTTTTTTTTTAAAAAGTGAACTCATATTTTTAAAACATCAAGTGGTGATGTATTTTTGTATGAGTGCTCTCTGGATCACTCCGTTTCAAAATCTTTTTCGAAAATAAAATGAAGAAGGTCGTTCATCGAGTATCTCTGTTCTAATTCGTCTGTTTGTTTGTTCGTTGTTTGTTTTTTGTTTTTTTGTTGTCGTTATGTTTTGTTTTTCTCTTTTTTTGGTAAAAATTAAATGACTGATACATTTGTATATTAATATATATATATATATATATATATATATATATATATATATATAAGCAGCATTTCTTGTAATCTTTTTAGCAAAGGTGAAAAGATCAAACAAATCCAACAGTTTAAGTATGTACGATATATAATAACATCGGATACCAACTGTTCCACGGAAATAAAACGGAGAATTGCGGACGCTAAGGCTAGTTTAAATAAAGTGAGCCCAATCCTAAATAATAGAAACATCTCAATGATTACCAAAAAAGAGGGTTCTGAAATGCTATGTATTGTCAACCCTTCTATATAGTTGTGAATGCTGGACAATCACTAAAGACAGTGAAAACAAAAAAGAGTCAACAGCAATGTGGTTTCTTAGGAGACTGCTTAGAATACCGAGGAAGGAAAAGAAATCAAATGAGGTAGTGCTTGATGGAGCCCTCGTGGGACACTCACTGTTAAGAACAATCAGGAAACGACACATTTTAATCCCTTTTTGGGGACACCTGAATAAACATAGAGGTCTTGAACATCTAAATCTAGCTCTGACTTGCAAAATTGAAGGCAAACGAGGCAGGGAAATGGATTGGGCACACCCGGAGGAGACTCCCGACAAGCATCATCAGACAGGCGTTGACGTGGAATCCACAAGCAAAACATAAGAAAGGAAGACCAAAAATGACATGGAGGCGAGCGGTATAAGCGGAAATGGAAAAGGTGGGGACATCATGGAAACATCTAGAAAAGGATGTACTGGACAGGCTATTTTGTTGATGGCCTATGCTCCACTGGGAGTTAAAATGGGCAAGTGTGTGTGTGTGTGTGAGAGAGAGAGAGAGAGAGAGAGAGAGAGAGAGAGAGAAGGGGGGGGCAGGGGCAGGCCCAGAGCAACCTACTTCGGGAACCTAAACAAATGGGTGACGAGGAAAGATCAGGGAAACAAAACATTTTTAAGAGCACTCGAGCAAAGGAAAGAATGGAGAACCATGATCGCCGATTCTGTTCCAGATCTGGCACTGTAAAAAATAAATGAAACGACTCATAAGGCCTATTGTTCAATGCATCTTACACTCAGTGGCACCTGGTGTTTTAGGTAAAGCTATAAAAACTGACTTAGTCATAACATCAGAAATCTGAAAGAGATAAAATTAAGGAACTGTATTTCTTTTTCAGTGGCTAATTTTAATATAGTGTTACAATCACTTCAACTGGGATATTATCTGGCATAGTGGCTTTTCTTTGTTTCATTTTATTAATGGAAGCTTGCACTTCCGATTTTAGTATTGGTGGTCCAATTCAATATCTATTTCTTACTGGTTTTTCTCCTCTGTTGTCTTTGAAAAGATTGTCTGTGTATTGTGACTATCTGTTCAAAGCACCCCCTTAGTCAATTGAAATACGCCCTTCTTTTGAGAGTATGCACCCTGTGTTTGGGCATCCATTCATTCCACTTACTTCTTTGATTTTGGAACCCATGTATTGGCTGTCTTTGTTTTGATTCTTCGTTATTTGTTTGACACTGATCACTTATCCGTGTTTCTTTACTTTTATCATTTTTCTCTGTATTTCCCTATAAAAAATGTTATACTTTTTCACATTTGATTTTGTCTGCTTTCTTTATTGCTTTACTTTTAATAGGTCCCGGTTCATCTATTTACAAGAAAAACTATTTTGGTTTTGTGATGTTTTGCTCCACAACTTAGCTTATTGAAATTTTCATTCCTTCCCAGTCCGTTGCTCTTCCGATTTAGTAATGTTTTCCTGAGCTTGACATATTATATTGGGTTGGTGCTTTCACTTTTAAAGTTAATCCACCCTGCATTAAACGCATGGCTGGTACATGGTCACAATTACAACCTGCTCCTAGCAACGATTTCGAAAGTTTTATTGCATTTCTGAAACGTTTCTGGTTCTATCCCCGGGATCTTTTAAATGCGCCGACTTCTTGGGTGATTTTGCAACTAGTAACCCAAAAGGAAACCGCAAGCACCATGGACCACAATAGGACAATCATGTGCAAGGGTTCATTGCTTTATAACTAACTTTTGAGGACGACCCCCATCGATATCACGTTCATACAGGCAAAAGCTTAATGATAACTTATGTGATTTATGAAGCCAGAATAAGCCGATCACGCCCCTGCAGTTGAACAGAATGCTTTTAAGAATTTAAGTTTTGGGTTTTACCTAATATTGGTTGAAAATTATCAAAACTTGATATTTGTTGAAAACGTAAATTGATTTTCTTAGTGTTATTATACTCAACGCCCCCTTGATTAAAGTCTATTTGTTCGAAGTTGCGTTAAAATCGATACATACGAGTATATAATCAAGTTATTGCCCTTTAAATTCCCAAGAGTTTGCTTCCCACTCTCGATGAAGTTTTATTCTCTTCCTACAGCAAATTGTGATCAGGAGCCACAGTTCGTCTATGTGTTCTTCGGCAGATTGCAAGTGCGTATTATGTATTAGAAAGAATTGTTGTACTTTGAATAACCAGTATGCGTGAAACGTTGATGTAAATATTATTTCATTGCGAAGCGCCTAGAGCCACCAGGGAGTGGGCGCTATGCAATTGATTTTTATTATTATTCTTTATTACTAAAGACATAAAGGTCTAGAACATCTAGCTCACTGGCAAAATTGAAGGCAAACGAGGCAGTGGTTGGCCCAGAGCAACCAACTTGGAGAACCTAAACAGATGGGTAACCGGGAAAGATCAGGGTTATGTAGCTTGTTTAAGAGCATCCGAGCAATTAATAAAGGAAAGGAATTAGAAACATGATCGCCGATGTCTGTCGCACATATGGCACTTGATGATGATGATGATGATGATGATGATGATGATGATGATGATGATGATGATGATGATGATGATGATGATGAGATGAACGTACTTGGGCGGAGCCTGTCCCCACTCGGTCCTGTGAGGGGGGTTCCTGTCTCCGCAGAGTGACGCCTCCAGTCCCAGGTGTCTGCAGGCCGGGTTGCGTTCGTCCAGCCACACATGTCCTGCTCAAAGTCACAGTTAAACCTGAGGGCGCCTGGAACACAAACATAGGCTCCACATTATCTATTATAAATCTATTTTTGTAAGTGTTGTACAGCGCTCACAACTGCATAAAGGTCATATGACTATGATAGCTGGACACAAATTTTGAATTTTGCCCTGGTGGCGGCTGAAGTCTACTGTGATCGACTTTGGATCACCAGGGGGGCTTTTAACCTGCGCAATGAGCACACAGGTCTTTCGAGATTTTTCTCCCATATCTGACAAAGCTAGGTGTTAGCCCTTACCTTCCATAAGATCAGGGTTGAGGCTTAAAGACAGAAGCAAGACGGAGCTATGGAGTAGCAGTAGAAAGGCTGCAGAAAGAGTCAGGAGCCCAGAGGAGAGGGAAAAGGAGATGAGAGGGTGGGGGCAGAATGATTGGAGACGAAAACAGAGGATACAACATTGCTAGTAAGTAGGAATGGAGGTGAAAAGAGTAAATTTTAGAGAAGAAAATTGTCCGTCCCTGTCCGGATTCGAACCCGGAACCGATTGAATGAGAGGCGAACACCGTAACCTCTCGACTATGAGAGACCTCCTCCCACCTGCGGTCTTGTTGGTCTTGAGGATGGTGTGTGTGCTTGGTGGTGGGAGGGGGGGCAGAGAGAGAGCGAGAGAGCAAGAGAGAGAGAGAGAGAGAGAGAGAGAGAGAGAGAGAGAGAGAGAGAGAGAATTGAACATTGTTTCATACGGTTTACTCTTTGTTTATTTTGCAGGGTTTTTTTCGTTAAAAGTGAAATACGTAGTGTACTGCTTTCAGACCACGCTGGAAAGGTTTTGTCTGGGTTTCAGTGACGAGGAGTGCAGATTAGGTACTTACTGATAGAATGTACAAAATTCGCTTTTGACATTGGCGTTTAGCGATTTAGGTAAACGTATTATTTTTCCTATGCCCTCCAGTCACCACAAGGACCTGACTTCTATTCATTTAACATTTATTTGCAAATTCTCTTGAGTGAACAAGACGTACAAGTTTTTTTTGGAAAGCACTGTCGTTACTGGGTGCCCACAGGGTAATAAAAGAAGAAGCTGGAGCCCTTGTTGCGAGGCCTTGGGAGTACAATCGTGTCGCCCAGAATGCATGGTGTCCATTGTCGTTTAGAATTTTAAAGAAACGCCACCTTATCCATCAGTTCTTGTGTTTTGTTAAGATTTGCTCGGAAAGACAAAACTAAAATGAAGATCAGATAAGGAGAACCATGTTTTGAAAAGTTATCTTCATAATATTTAAAGTTTTTTCCCCCACAGTCATCTTCCACATCTTTCCAAAATAAAGGCTAAACGTTTTTTCTGGTAGATTTTATACAGAACAGATCACTTATGTGGTGCCCGTTTCTCCACATTTTTATTTGTCGCGGACAGGAAGTGGGCCATTTTGTCGAATCTAAGTTTTCAAGTTTTCAAAATGCCAAGAATGTCTTAATTATGGTTAACTGCGGGGAAGCTGCATCAAGCTCTTAAATATTCTTTCAAAAATTGCCCTCTTTGCGGATGTGGTGAGGGATTTACAACGTATTAATTTCATTGAGTTTTACTCAGGTTTCAAACGCAAAGCTCTTCCGACAGCAATGTCAGAAAGTTTATCGATCTAAAATTGTCCACTGTGTACGAAGAAAATGTATGATGATAAAGAAAAGAAAAGAAAGTAGAAAGACCAAAAGAGATCGGTTTTTAAAAAAGAAATACTGAAATACAGTTAGTACTCAGAAACGGACGCTAGGAAAAGAATAAGATAGTAAACAAATCGTCGAATGTCGAGTCACTGGAGTTGATTACTGACAGGATCTACTCTTTCCTGTCCCTCTGTTAGTTCCGTAGGACTGTTTTTTTCCCCCAGCTCTAAATGTCGGACTTAGCGCTGACATGCTTTACTTTTCAGCACAAATAACCAAATTATCAGAAAGGAAGATGGGCCTGTCATCTGTTATGACCATATAGCACAATACCTACACACCTGAACATCGGCCTGGTATGATGCTGATGCTGTCAATAGCCATGTCACTGCGGTACCCAAGTCCCTTTGTGCCTTCGAACCAGATCTGTAGAAACAATAATTTATTTTGACTAAAGGTTTTACAGCACCACCGACACAATGTGCAAAAAGAAA